ATAAGGAAAACAAGAGAGGCGTTTTATATTGACCAAAGATGATAATGCACCGGGGAACTTAACTCCCCTTGAGAGTACAATGAACTGTACCTGAGGCCCCGCAGCAGCTGAGGCGACAGTAAGGTCCACTCCCGCAGAAGGAGACAGCTGGGCAGGGAGCCAAAGGACAGGGGATGCTAATGAAGTGAGACATTAATTCTGCCCCAGAGGGAGTCCTGCCTTTATATACGTAACGACTTGTAATGGGAATGACAGAGAGCCTAAAATTGTTCAATTTTGTTTATTTATTTTTAATAAAGGGAATTTATCGGCTCAAATGACCTAGAGGTAGGTTTCAGGTATAGACGGATTCAGGAACTGAGATAATGTCATCAGGATGTCCCCGGGTGCTCTTCCAATCGGCTTGCCTCTGGGTTGTCTTCCTTCTTAGGCTGACCCCATTGGATGACAAAGATGGTCCCTAGCAATGCCAGCTGTACACTCTCCAGCCAACGAACCCAGAAGTGTGGGCGTCCCTCGTCCAGAGGTTCCCACAAAAGTCCCACAACTAACCCTGAGTCACGGAGTCACATGCCCACACCTGAACCAATCCCCAGGGCTCTGATGGCCACGCCGGGGTGGCATAATCACCTGGGACCGTTTGGGAATCCTGATAGAGAGAATGGCCCAAGCAAGAGCTTAGCAACATGAAGACAGAACAGCAGAATATGAGGTTGCTTGCTGCCTGGCTCAGGCCTGGCCGTCCCAGGGAGGCAGGCACCATTAGAGTCTCTGAGCAGAAGGATCAGATCTGCAATTTGCAGACCACTTGGCAGCTAGCGGTGGGTGGCCTGGGGGCCTCTCGCATTTCCTCTGACAAAGAAAATGCCTCCAGAAGGGCCCCCCTCTAAGCCATTCTCCCTGCCAGAGTCTCTTTCCCAGAAAGCAAAGAGGCTAGCAGGCTCAGAGTGTTTTCAACCTAAATGGTTGGGGGAGGGCCCTCTTGGGGTCCTGGGTCATTGCAAGAGAGCTCATAAGGAAGCAAATCTATATAATCAGTTGCCAGAAAAGTACTTAACTGGCCTGTATTCATCCTGCACCAGGAGAGCTGCAGAGACAGAATGGTCCCAATCCCTCAACAGCCCCAGGGTCTGGGGATTCTCCAGCACTTAACCACCAGCCTTTCTGCCCCACCCGGCCCACGAGCACCTGGTGGGTGGCTGCTGCATTGTCTCTTGAGGGCACTGGGGGCAATGCTGGGCCGCGCTGGGCAGGGCAATGGAGGGGGGAGGCATGGGGATCTGAAGACCTTTCTTTATGTGGCCCCCACGACACCTCCCCTCAAGCCACATCTCCCGCTGCCTGGGGTTTTGAACGCAGTTCTCAGGCTTTTTCATGGCCGTAGTGGGCAGCATGTCGCCTAATGAACAGCCAGCTACAAGAGGCTGAGCTCCAACTGTGGGCAAAGAACAGGTAGCGCTGCTTTCCCCCCAGAATGGGGAGGCTTGGTGCGGGTCTGCACCTGCCTCTGGAGCAGGAAATGCAGCAGAGAGAGATGTACGGATTGATTAGAGTGCTTTCAGCTGAAAGAAATAGAAGGCCCAACTCAAAGGGGCTTCAACAATAAAAGAGAGGTCGCCTGCACGAGGAAGCCCCGAGGGAGGACGGCTCAGGGCTGGTTAGTTCAGTGCTACAGTGACATCAGTAGAGACCCAGGGCTTTGGATGCGGAGCATCAGAAGCTCCAGGAGGAATGAGATCAGCTGGAAAAAAAAAAAAAATGGGTTTGATCTTATAGACAGCTTCCCGTGCTGTCCTCAATGGGCCAGCTCTGCTCTTGGGGCAGCTTCTCTCATGATCACAGCACGGCTGCCACAGCTCCAGGCATCGCATCCAGACATGACTGCACACAGCAGAGGAGACCACCTCTTCCTGGTTTACTCTTCTTCTTCTTCTTCTTCTTCTTCTTTTTTTTTTTTTTTTCTTCTCCTGGTTACATCTTGTTAAGAGTAAGGGAACTTTTCCCAGAATCCCCCTAGCAGCTTCTGTGTCTTATCTCACTGGCCAGAATTCCATCACACACTCATTCTTGGCCAGTCTCCAGCAGAGGGCACTGGCTTACAGGGTGTGGACTACCCCAACAGTACCGGATTCTGACCCTCCAGCAGCATCTGTGACACCGAGACGCAGAGGTTCTTCCCTTCACAAGTCAGTGGAGAGGGGTTTGGGGTTCTAGCCCTGTTTTCTTCACCAATCAATGTCTGATCCTGGACAAGTCGGATCCCCTTGTCAGTCACCCACGTGGCAGGCATTCACAACTTGCAAACACACCCCTGATTCGGCTTGGTGGCAATGCGCCCAGCCACAGGAGAGATCACGACTGTGTAAGCAGTTGTGACAGTACCTCTGCCCTTTGTTAAATACGTGCCTGGGCAGCCTCCACTGCAACGAGGTGTAACCATGTGACCCATTCCCAGGCGATGACACAGAAGGGGGACCCGGCTGCGGTATTTCTGGAAAAGATGGGGAAGGCCCTCACCTCTTTTCTTTCCCCTGCCTTTCTCCCTTCTTTCCAGTTTTGTTCACCGGTAAGCGAGGACGTGACTTTTGGAGCCGTGGCAGCCATTTTGCAATGAGGGAAATGCCAAGAAAATCTCAGACCTGCTAACCTCACATTGTCACGTTACTGGGCTGTGAGACGATCCTAAAACCACATGGATTTGTTACGTGGGTAAAATAAACTCCCATTCAACTAGGCCTCCATTGGTTGAGCCCTCTTTACCGGTAGCCAAAATACCTTAACTGACACGGAGCTCAGTTTCTTTACTAATAAAATGAAATGACTGACTCCCGTGGTGGCCATCTTCCTTTGGGTTCTCCTCTTTGATGAAGGAGTCCTCCTAGAATTTCCCCTATTAGACCACCAAGGAACGCCAAGTTCCTGCCGATCTTCCGTCTGTCGTTGCAAACCTGATAGTGCCAAATGATGACAATAGAGAGTCCCTGAAGCCCTTTCCTTTCCTGCCGGGAAACTCCATCCATGACCAAAAGGACACGGGTGAGAATCAGTCACAGGCTCATAAAACCACAGAAGCCTGACAATAGCATCTTAAGCAAATAAGCTTTGGGGTTTTTTTTTTTTACCTCAAGTAAGAAGAAGTCCAGAGGCCAGGAGGCCACTGGGGTTTGGGTGAGGTTATCAGGGACCGGGGTCCTTTCAGCTTCCTACCTTGTCATCCTCGGCAAGTGCCTTTGTCTTCATGGTCACAAGACGCCCGTTGCCTTTTCAGGCAGAGCTTCATGGTCCAGAGAGGAATAAGGGGAAAGGGAAAGGCCAAAGGGAAGAGTCACCGAGTCTCACAAGAAATCCCTACTCAGAGGCCACCTGTCATTGGTCATTTGGGTTGTGTAACCATCCCTGGCTTTGAGGGAGAAGAAGGGGAGAATGGCTGTTGGGTAGACAACTAACCACACGGGCCACCAGGTTTGGGGTCAGAAGAGCTGGGGTACAGTCCCACTACTTGCTGCTGCCTCTGTGACCCTGGCAGTTGGGTGAAAGTCTTGAGTCTCAGGAGCCTCATCTGTCTGGCATCCGCACGAGGGTCCCCAAAAGGCTGGGGTGCTAGTTTGGGGACCCGGGGTTGGTGTGGGAATGGGAAGGGTGGCTTACTCGGGCTCTTTTGATTTCAAGTGATAGAAACTCACTCAACTTCTCTACAGAGAAAAAAAGAGGTGGGTGGGGATTTATTCTGAGGATGAGTGGCACATCTCAGACCCGCTGGGCCAGGGGAGCGGTCAGACCTCAGGCGGGACTGGACCACAAGCTGGAGAGCCCTTAGAGACAGGAGCCGCCGCCCTCTCTGGCTCTCCTGGCCTCGGGCTTGCCTCCAAGCCCGCCTTGGCTTTTTCGCCCATGCTGTCTGCACCTTCTATCCCTCTGGACCAAGAGAGGCTTCCTCAGCCTACAGCTCCCACGTTCCCCTGGACAATGGACTGCCGGCGTGTCTGCATTCTTACTGCGGATTTGTGGGGAAGAGGGTCTGATGGTGCAGCTCATACTTGCGTCCACCTCTTATCCCATCGGTCCAGCCGTAGGATTAGCTGAGGCTGACTAGCACACCCGAGACAAAGCACTGCCCATCAGGGGAGGGGTGACGCAGAGGCAGGAGAGTCCTCCTTGGGGTTACGGGAGGCAGGGTCCCGTGGGAAGGATGGCTGGTTGAAGGCCGACTTTATGCATTTTTTTTTTTTTTTTTTTGAGAGCGTGCAGGGGAGAGGGGAAAAAAGAGAGAGAGACAGAGAGAGGATTCAAAGCAGGCTCCGCCCTGACAGCGGAGAGCCCAACGCGGGGCTCCGTCTCAGGAACTGGAGCACAAGATCGTGACCTGAGCTGAAGTCGCTTAACCACTTGAGCCACCCAGGTGCCCCCGGACTTCACGTGTTCTTCTATGTCCAAAGTTTCATTCACTTCAGTCAAGTCGGATGCTCCCTCGCCCCTCACCCCCTCTTCAAGATGGAATCCGTTTCCTTGGGACCATATGATCCCAAAACAGCTCCCAGGAGACCGTGGGGGAGGGAAACGGGGGAAATGAAACATGTCCCCACATCAGTCACCTCCAAGATCTTGCCAGTTTGAGCAGGACAAGAAAGCAGATGGGAGGCGGAAGAATGAACCTGGATGAATGCACGTCCTGATCCCTGGAAACAGTTATGCGACACAGGTTATACGGTAAGGCAGAATTCTGGCTGCAGAGGGAATGAAGAATACCGGGCAGCTGCCCTTAAAATAAGGAGATGATGGGGCGCCTGGGTGGCGCAGTCGGTTGAGCGTCCGACTTCAGCCAGGTCACGATCTCGCGGTCCGTGGGTTCGAGCCCCGCGTCGGGCTCTGGGCTGATGGCTCGGAGCCTGGAGCCTGTTTCCGATTCTGTGTCTCCCTCTCTCTCTCTGCCCCTCCCCCGTTCATGCTCTGTCTCTCTCTGTCCCAAAAATAAATAAACGTTGAAAAAAAAAAATTTAAAATAAGGAGATGATCCTGATTATCCAGGCGGGCCCAATGGCATCACAAGAGTCCTTTAAACATGGAGAGGGAGGCAGAAGAGACGTGATCTGAGACTCGAGCAGCAGTTGCTGGCTTTGGAGATGGAAAGGGGCCACATGCCAAAGAGTGCGGGCAGCTCACAGAAGCTGGAAGAGGCAGAAAATAAATTGTCCTATAGAGCCTGGAGAAAGGAACACAGCCCTGGAGCCATCCTGATTTTAACCCAGCGATGCCTGGGTCAGGGTTCTGACTTCCAGAATTATAAGATAGTAAATTTGTATTGTGTTAAGCCACTGAGTTGGTGGTAAGTGCTTACCCTGCAGCAATGGGAAGTTAATACACAGCATTTCAAGAGCAGCCTTCCACATGGTGGGAGTGATGGAGAGGCATCCGGGGCGGGCGCTGCAAAACAGAAATAAAATATTAAAAATGTCTGCATTTCTACATTTCTAGCAGCCACATATGACACATAAGAACAACAGGGGCACCTGGGTGGCTCAATGGGTTAAGCATCTGACTTCAGCTCAGGTCACGATCTCACAGTTCACCAGTTCGAGCCCCGTGTTGGGCTCTGTGCTGACAGCTCAGAGCCTGGAGCCTGCTTCATGGATTCTGCATCTCCCTCTCTCTCTGCCCCTCCCCTGCTCCTGCTCTCTCTCTCTCTCTCTCTCTCTCTCTCTCAAAAATAAATAAACATTAACAATTTTTTTTAAGGGGCACCTGGGTCACTCAGTCGGTTATGCATCCGACTTCGGCTCAGGTCATGATCTCGCAGTCCGTGAGTTCGAGCCCCGCGTCGGGCTCTATGCTGACAGCTCAGAGCCTGGAGCCTGCTTCAGAGTCTGTGTCTCCCTCTCTCTGCCCTTCCCCGCTTGTGCTCTGTCTCTCTCTGTCTCTCAAAAATAAATAAACGTTAAAAAAATTTTTTTTAATTTTTTTAAAGAACAGGCAAAATCAGTTTAATAATGTTTTAAAGCAACGTGTTCTGAATACTGTCATTTCAACATATAATCGATACAAATAAATGAGACATTTATGGTATTAATTAGATAATCTATGTGTTAGATATTATTAATGAGATGTTCCACATTCTGTTTTCATCCTGTCTTCAGAATCCCGTGTGCATTTTACACTCACAGGACATCTCAATTTTTCCGGCCACACTTCAAGTGCTCATGAGCCACACATGGCCAGTGGCTACTGTGGTGGACTGCATAGTGGCCATACCTCTGGTTGCTCGAGTGGCAACAGCTAGCAGTAGCCTGGACAGGGATTCATTTGTGAGAGACACAAGGGAAACTGCCAACCCCTGCTGATCTGCGGCTATGGGTAAGACATCTGAGAGTCAAGTTCTTTCCTAATCAGGATCCTCAGTGGCCGTGGGGGCACCCCGATTGTGTTTGTGCATCTGAGAGTCCAGAGGGGTCAGTGGGCTCAATCGTGGTGGACAGGAAGGCCCCAGAGAAGACAGGCGTGGCTACTGGCTTGGGGGAAATGACAGCTCCTTGGATCGAGGGTGGAGAGTCCCACGGGAACACGCACAGGCTAAGAAGGAAATTTTAAAAGCCTGTGCCTGGAACATTCTGCCTCTAAAGAATCAGGTGAGCTCGGAGCAGGGAGCCAACTACAGAGAGAGTGTGAGACGGCTTCATATTTGGAAAGTAGAGAGAAACCGTTGCTTGGGCTTTGGATGCGGAGCATCAGAAACTCCAGGAGGAATGAGATCAGCTGAAAAAAAAAAAAAAATGGGTTTGATCTTATAGACCAAACAGGAACAGTGGGGAACAGGCCAAAACCAGAGTGGAGGAGAACAGAAAGCCGCCTCCATGGCTGTAACTCTGTTCCTCGTCTTTGGGGGAAGGTGGGACCAGCTGGGAACAGGCTGAAGGTGATGTCGGTGGTAGCCTTAAGGGGTGGCCAGGAGAGGGAGGAAAGCTCAGCTGCAGGAGAAGAGCAGAAGCAGGGCCTGGGGCGGGGGGCCACCTGTAGACAGGTCACAGGAGTCACTTATAGCCCTGGGGCCTGAAAGAACCAAGGGAAGTCGGCCGGGCCAGCAGCTCTGGGCCGACTGGCCCAGCCAGCCCTCCCCAGGCGTGAATGATGGTAGCAGCCTTCAGCCCCTCTCCCCACACTGCAGACAGAAGAGAGCTGGAGAAGCCAGAAAGGGGGGGGAGCTGACCTGGCGTCCCCCCTCCCCAGGAGGGTGCAGCCCAGGCCTCCAGCATCCCATGGAGCTCAACCATTAAAATCTGCTCAGCACTTAAAGGTTCCAGCCACTAGTTGGGGCCAAAAAACGTCCTTGGTCTTTGACCTTGGCCTGTGGCAACATTGCCGTTTTCTACGGGGGTATGGGACCTAGGAGCTGAGAATAGCCTTCAGCCAACTTACACATCATCTCCCTTACTCTCACCATAGTCATTCGAGGTGGGGATCATTCTTGGCCATTTCATGTCTGAGAAAACAGAGCCTCGGGGAGGTGGGGGTGACTCCGTGGAATAGTCAGGACAGGGCTTGGTTTGCTGTTGTAACCAACATCTTTGAAATCTCATACCAACACAATAGTTCATTCTGGCTCCCACTATATGTCTCTAGGGGGCTGGCAGGAGCATCGTCTCCGCCCAGGTCACTCAGGGATTCAGGATGATTGAGGCTCTGCTCTCTGGAACGGTGGCCTTCCCAAACCCCCTGGCAGGGGAGGATACAGCTGGAGGCTTGCACACTGGCTCTTCTATGCTTTGGTGTGGCCCTGCCTAACTAGAAAGGAGCAGGGAAGTCTGAGAGAGCAGCGAGGATGTCCAATGAGGCACACGCAGTCAGGAAGTGAGAGCAAGTTTTTAACTCAGGAGTGTCTAATGTCACAGTCCTTGCTCTCAAGTCTATATTATACAGCTTTGCCCCCAATGACTTTGAATGCTTGTTGTGAGCTGTACGGCAATGCGCAAGTTCAAGGGATGTCAACACCATGACTCCCCGAGAGTTTCATAAATCTCCTCCTCAGCGCCTCCCCAGGGAGAGAGGGCTCTGCAAACCAAGGGCCCTCTCCGGCCAGGAGGCAATCGGGCACTACCCCTGCCCTCTGGGCCTCTCCCCTGCATTCCAGCCTGCACACTATGTCCCTGTTTAGTCCAGTGCCCTCAGGTTCCTAAGCTGGAAGATTCCTTTTCATTCTTGTGGAAGCTGGAGCCCCAGTTCTCCTCCACCGCTAGTGCCTGCCCCAATCCTTGCTACCGGCCCTGCTAATCTGTTAATTATCCGCTGCTAGCGGTGAAGCCTGTTAATTGAAAACTCAGCCCCCTCCTTTAATTGCCTGCCTGCCTTCTGGCTGTTTTGGTTTCCTCGCCATTCTCTGTAAGCTGTTGGGCCTTTGGTTCTCTGCCTTTGAGTTCTGGATTTCTTCCTGGCCATTTGTTACCGCCTTTTACAGAGCTGATCACTGGGGCTGCTGAGGCCCTGGTGTGAGAATGAGGGAGTCGCACCCACTCCTTCTTGATCTACTGTGGGGGGCAGGAAGGCAGATAAAGCAGTTTGCCCCAGGAACTAATGGAGAGGTCCTAGGCCGGTGGGAGGACTCACAGGGGAAGCAGATTTTAACTTAAACGAAATGCCAAACTCCCCATCCTTGCAGAGCTGGCCAGAGGAGCTGGCTGCCTGGGAGGGTTGTCAGGGGCCTCAAAGCGGGCTGTGCAGGTGCCTGGAAGGTTTCCACTCTGAGTCTGCCCCTCATCCCCACACCCACTGCCTAGAGGGTTTTCTGACCTTCAGTCCTTTGAATCTGGCCCCTGGCCTCATCCACCCCTTCTCTCCCTGGCACATCACCAGATTGGCCAGGCACAGATAGAATGTGCAAGTGTCAACAATCTGATGAGTGAAAAAAAGCGAAGTTCAGAAAAATGGGGATAATATGATCCCATTTTTCTAATAAAGCTGAGTGGGGTAAAATATATATATATGTTTGTAACACATTTTTTTAAAGTTCTAGTAAAATGCCCACCAAATTGATGAGCAGTAATTTTTGGAGGGTGGGTTGGGAGAAGGAGAAGTGAAGACTAACATTTTTTTTTTTAATTTTTTTTTTCAACATTTATTTATTTTTGGGACAGAGAGAGACAGAGCACGAACGGGGGAGGGGCAGAGAGAGAGGGAGACACAGAATCGGAAACAGGCTCCAGGCTCTGAGCCATCAGCCCAGAGCCTGACGCGGGGCTCGAACTCACGGACTGCGAGATCGTGACCTGGCTGAAGTCGGACGCCTAACCGACTGCGCCACCCAGGCACCCCAAGACTAACATTTTTATTGTTACCGTTTGAATTATTTCACCAAGAAAGGGAGCACGTGAACATTTGTCCTCAATGGCTATGACCTTGGACAAACCACTTGACCACCATGAGCCCCAGCGACCTCATCCGTAAAAGGGAGACCTGTCCTCAAATCCCCTTTCACTCTGTATTAGGGCTCTTGGTTGGAAGCAACCTAAACCAACCCAAGCTTGTATAATAAAAAGGGGAAGCCTTTCGGGGTGCCTGGATGGCTATAAGTTAAGCATCCAATGCTTGATTTCGGCTCAGGTCATGATCTCACAGTTTGTGAGTTCAAGCCCCGTGTCAGGGTCCACGCACAGGCTCCACAGCATGGAACCTGCTTGGGATTCTCTCCCTCTCTCTCTGTCCCTCCCTGGTTTGTGCTCTCTCTCTCTCTCTCTCTCCCAATAAATAAATAAGCTTTTAAAAAAGGTGTGGGGAGAAGCCTTTCATAAAAGGACACAGGGATTTTTATGCATCCAGATGTTAGGCAAGAAGAATAATGCTAGGGATATCTCTCCATCTCTCCTTACCTGTGTTCCTGTTTTCTTCTCTCTCTTTAAAGAATGATTTCTCTGCTTCCACATCCCCATGGAAAAAAAACAAAGCAATAAGGTTTACATATCATGGGTCTAGCCCACTAGAAAGGCCTAGGTCCTAATTCTAAAGTCTTAGGCAAGGTTCTTATTGGCCAACTTGGTGACTATCAGTCAGGACAGGTTCGGGTATGCTGTGGTAACAAACAGCCCCCAAATCTCAATGGCTTTAAAGCAGTAAAATGTCTTACACATGCAACATGTCCACCGTGGGTATCGTCACTCAGTGACCCAGTATGATGGAGGCTGCATCTCAACAGGTGCATCCAGGACCTCACAAACACGGAAAGAGATGGGGAGACTCACATGGGCTCTTAAAGCTTCCTCCTGGAAGTCACACGCACATCGCTTCCTGTGACGTTTGGTTGGTCAGAGCAATCAGATGCCACAGGCCTGAACTGCAGTGGACGGAGAAGTCAACCACGATGAGCCTGGAATCGAAGAAACAGCCCCACTGACTACCAGAATGACCACTCTCCTTTCACTGGCCCATCCCTACAGGAAGTCCCACTATGCTAATGAAATGCTGCCAGCAAAGGAGGAAGAGATTCTTGGGGAGGCTTCAGTTTCTGCCATTGTTAGCTTGCTCCTTTTCTGTGGTGCAAAAACAAAGACAAAAACACATCAAGGCTGGGAGCTAGAAGTCCGAAAGATTGCTGGAGACTCCCTGTGAATCCCAGGGTTGCCAAAGCCCCCACTCCCCACACTTCGGAACTTGGGGTCCCAGGAGGACAGCCTTCTCCTCAACCCAACCTTTTCCCCCTTCCAGCATGAAAGACAATACTTCTGAAGGTCGAGTCTGGGGAGAGGGTGGGGGATGGGAGGGAACCTCTGAAAAATTCTACCTAAGGATCCACAACATAAGCTCCTTGCTCTGGTGGTCCCTCACCGTCTTCATCTTCAGAAACCATGTGGACATTAAGGAGTGGGTGCCAGGCAGAGGTGAGCTTCAGGGTTCAGAGGCCTGGGTTCAAGCCCTGGCTCTATCACTAACTGGCTCTCTGACCTGGGCAAGTCAGTTAATACCCTGGAGCCTCAGTTTTCTCATCTGTAAGCTGGGTTAATTACAATGTCTGGCTGCCCGATGGTCCTTCTGGGTTCTGGTGAGGACCGGCTGCTATGATGGGTGTCACGGCTCCTTGCAAGGGGTGATGCCTGGGCAAATATAAAAGGTTGTCTTTGTCGTCATGGCCCACCGGGGATCCTCACGAGGGACTGGCCCTGCCCTGCCTCACGCCTGCCCCTGGGAATGGCCCACCTTCTCTCGTGCCTCCCCACCCAGCCATGAAACAGTCACTCTGCCAGCTCTGGAGAAGAACTCATCTCTGAGATTTTAGACAGAATAATTTCTTCTCCCTCTCACGCCTGCCTGTCCGGGAAAATCACACAACCCACATGCTCCCCCCCGTGTGCACCCACACGCTCCCAAAGCCATTGTTTCCCTCATCAGCCAGCAAAAAGCTTCCCATCTCTGCGAAGCCGAGTGAGGCATGGGAAGAGGAGGGGAGGCTGAGGAAAGAGGGCTGGCACCCCTACCTAGAGGGGCTCCTAGCACCTGGCCAAGGGCTGACCTCAGGAGGCAGGGACCGGGCTCCTTCCAGGCTCCCACCCGTCTGGTTCCGGCCACGAAGCTAGCTCTGGATCAGGTCAGTCACCCTGCGAGGCCCACCCTGCTGAGGCCTTGACCCAAGCCACTGCAGAAACCACACAGGGCAGGAGTGAGTGTCAGTGCCCTGGCGTCAACGGCTGTTGACCCACCCAGGGAGCGTGGGTCACACAGCCAGTTAGTGACAGGCAGGATGAGAAGTCCCATGCTCTTTCTGTACTCTTTCCCAGACCTTCTTGCCACCAGAGAGAGGCCTGGAAGCCAGAAGAGCCTGGAAGGAGTTTCAAGGAGAGCCAAGGGACACTGGGAGCCCCAACTCCTCCCTCCCCGTGCTGGGGGCACCCAGGTCTCTGCCACCCAGCACTGCTGGGGTTGGTTCCGCCAGCTCTTGGAAACAGCAGCCCCTTTTCCCAGCACACCATTCATCACGAGGACCAGGCTCCATCAGGCATCAAGCCTGCAAGGTCCCCATCAAGTGCAGGCATCCAAGGAGCAGGCCGGCTTCACCAACTGTGACTGAGTCTCTTCGGGACTGGACAGGTACGCCTGGAGAGGGGCACGCCCTGGCCACCCTCCCCTCCAGTAGAAGGCAGGTTCTAGATCAGGGTCCAGAAGGGTCTGACGTGGACCCTTCCCCCTCTACCATCCAGGACCCTGGGTCTGGGGACTGATGATGGATTAAGGGAGCTCAGGGAGCAAGGAAGTGCGAGGCAGACGGAGCATTTGGGGGGAGACTGGAGACAGCGGACCCTTTCTCTACAGTAATGCCGACCTTTGCTCAAAACCTGTTTCCACGCCTCCTGTTTCTCCCCAGACGTGGCCTTCTACCAAAGGCCCTTGAGGAGGGAAGCCAGAAATAGCTGAGGCACCAGAGTCTGGCCCTTCTTGCAGCTCCCAGGTGGATACTGCTCCCCTCTCAGAGACTGGGGTGGGTTCTCCAGGATGGGAGGGAGCTGATCCCAGAGAAGGAAGGCGGTCTGAGAGAGGCAGTGGCCTTCCCAGGCTCCCAGAGCAGGGTTCCTGGCCCCGGGAACTGGGGGACACGCCCCATCTCTGCTGTTCCCACAGCCACCTCCTTCTGACCCCTCCACAAACTCCCTTGTCACTGCACCTGGCCCCACAGCCCATCAGGAGCCAGGGAGAGCGCCTCTCCAGGCACCAAAGGGTTTTGTGGACGGCACTGAGAGACAAAGCTTAGGGCCATCCTGGGGACTGATCATCATCCAGTCCCACCATAACCAGGGCCATAAATAGGCCATGTTCCTTGACCCAGTAATCCCACTGTTTGGAATTCCTCCCAAAGACATAATTGCAAGGGGAAAGTAGCTATATGTGCCTGGCTGTTTATAGGAACATTATTTATAATAGTACAAAACCGGAATCAGCCAAAAGGCTCTGCAAGTTGTGGAGCGGATGGATGATGTGTCAATAAGGCAGAATATTTGTGACGCGGCCAGGAAAAACGGCAACCTTGGAAAATTCTTCGTGAAATAATGTTAAGGGAAAAGAGAACAAAAACGCATACCCGTTTATTCAGTCGGCAAATGGTAACTGAGTACTGGGTCTAGGCCAGACTAGTACTGCTCTAGGCACTGGAGAGACTGCCATGCATGGGACCAAGCCCTTACCCTCCTGGAAGGAACATTCCAGAAGTGATGCATATGGTAAACAAGGAATCATAACATCATCAGTTAAGTGCCTCCCTAAGACAGGCAGTGAACAGAGAGACTCTCCCAACCCCCACTCCCCTGCCCTAGCTGCTCTCTGCCGCTCACTGTGGGGTCCATCTTGTCTGGGCAAGTGGGTCACCAGAATGTAGCCCAGCAGAGGACCACGGACTCCCAAGGGAAAAGCCTTTCATCAGGCAAGGGCTACACCCCGGAGTGAGGAAGACAGGGCCGCCGTGCGACAATAACTTACCAGGCCAAGGGCAATGGAGACAGCCAGCCTGAAGGGTCTTCAGGAGGGAAATTTGGCAAGGCACTTTTGGAAAGCCCATGAACGCTTGGGTTTGCGGACGAGCCAGGGAGAGAAGCAGGCCCCCAGAGTGTGAGCTAGGTGGTCTACTAACCTGGCAAGTAGGGGCTCAGGATTGACTGTGCCTTGGGGACTAGGGGTCCAACCTGTCCTAGCAGGACCAGATCTGTATGTAGGATGTGTCCCATGGTGGCCCGTGGAGGTAAGCAGGTAGGAAGGAGGGGTCCAAGTGTAATCTAGAGGTGGGCCGGCCCCAGTCCTGCCCACTCTGTGAAGCCCACTCCATTCAGATGCAGAATCTTCCCTCACTAGGTCCTCCTGCGTGGGGGCAAGAGATTCACAGAGCAGTGGGGCTTGGAGGGATAGAGAAGCCGGGTTTCCAAGAACAGGAGGCCTTTTCCATTTTCCCAGAGCCTGGAGGGATCTTCCTAGGGTGGGGCAGAGCCCAGGAATGGAATTGCGGGGCACCCCCACCAAGTCCAGGGTCCAAGTAGACTGCTGGCTGTGGTCAGGGCTGGGGAACACTCTCTGTCATCACTCTCCTGGCCCAAGCAGAAGCTAAGAGACTCCCAGCTCGGGGCCCGTGGGAGGCACCAGGCAAACAGAGGAGTCGCGAGCTAAACATGCTATTAGCAGCGACGGAGAAGTGACAATTATCTGCACAGCTGTCAGCAGCATCTCTCTGCCCCCTCGAACCCGCACTCGGGGAGGGGCCACCTCTCATCTGCCTTCCCAGAGATCCCAACCCAGGAGAGAAAGGTGAGGAGGCGGGCATTCTGGGCCACCATTCCCTCGTGCTATGCCCGGGCCTTTCCCTGGGGATCCGGCCTTTCATCTGGTGACAGGGGACAGAATGGCAAGGCCCATCTCTCCACCTGTTCCCCTATAGCTAGCTGGGCCTTTGTTTCTCCAACTGCGAGCCGGCGGTGAAAGTAACACTGCCTCACGGGGTTGTTGGGAGGGTCCAATGAGATATTTTGGGCAAAAGCACCTTGCAAATGCTAGAGGGCCACGGGGTCACTGTTGTTACAATTCTTCCATCCCAAAGATCTAATCTCCAGGGGTTCTCATTGTCTATTTCACTCACATGGAATCAAATTGAGGCCTAGGAAGCGCAAGCAATGTGACCAAAGTCACACAGCTACAAACGGAAATAGGTGTCAGTTTCAACGTTGGAACCCGGAGGAAGCTCAAAGAACATCTACCCCCATTCTGTTAAAGGGGACCTGAGGTCCAGAAAAGTGACCACAGAGCAGGATGGAGGGCGGACAGCACTGAAGGCCAGCCCTGCCAGTTCCCGCCCGGTGCCTTCTCTGGCTTTGTCCCCAGCCGGGGGCGGCTGGCCAGAGCAGCTGAGGAATGAACCAACCGCGGAGAATTGAAGCTCAACCCCAGCGGCCCTACTGGAGCTTGTGCCTCTCAGAGGGGCCCTCTTGGAGACACAGTGCCATCACCTAGAGGAGTACACGCCTAGTGTTGGGCGTGTGGGCTCCACGGCCAGCTAATGAGAGTTGGGCCTTGACTGGAGGGGTAAGGAGCCTGTCCAGGTACCACAGCCGGTCACACTTTCTGAAAGCTCACTCTGTCAGCTCTTGGGAACTGAACACCTTCCCCCAACACTGCCCCTCCAACGGGGTCAGTCTCCACATCTGACCGAAGAGCTCCCTGCAGGGGGTAGGCTGGGAGGTGAGAGGCAGGGTGAGAGGCAGGGTGTGCTTGGGGCCCTGCCCACCTGCCCGCCCCCACCTCCAGTCAGCCTCAGGAAAGCGTTCAGGGGAAGAGCGGACTGGGGAGGCGGGGATGATGTGTCCCACTTGTGTGGGAGAGATGGTGAGGGGGGATGGGGGT